TCATTATAAAATAAGAACAATAAAAGATAAAGAAAAAGAAAGAAAAAGAACAAAGAACCATTTTAACTAAAAGCTAAATTAAAAAGATATGTTTTCAAATGTTTTTTAAAACAATGTACCGAGCTTGACTGCCTAATAAAAAGTGGTAATAGGTCTATTCTATGGTGAAAAGAGGGCCCTCACACCTGAAGAAGGCTTCACAGCCGAAACGTTGTGTTTTCTCTCTTCTCTTTTCAGCATGGAATAAACCTATTACTTGTCCCTTTGCAGACTACACATGCTGATGCAGCTTCCCACCTGAACTAATAAAACTAATAACTAATAAAAAGTGGTAGTAAATTCCATAATTCAGAAGCATAAAAACAAAAAGCAGCCTCTCCACTCTTTATGTATTTCACATGTGGTACAGTATTTGCAGAAGGCAAGTATTTGCAGATCTCAGATCACGTATAGGAACATATAAAGACAGAAATTCAGTAAGGTACATAGGTGCTAGGCTGTTTCGAGCTTTAAAAACAAGTAAAAATAAGCGTAGGCTGCAATGGAGCAAGTAAAGGTTTATTCCATGCTGAAAAGAGAAGAAAAGAAACACAATGTTTTGGCTGTGGAGCCTTCTTCGAGTGTCACCCTTCTTGACGCCCAAAGAAGGTTCCACAGCCGAAATGTTGTGCTTCTTTTCTTCTCTTTTCAGCATGGAATAAACCTTTACTTGCTTCAATTCATAAAGCTGTTGTGTACCATGTTGTTTTTTGCTGAGAAAAACAACACTCCCCCACATGCTTATTTCGGAGGGTATAGTCCAGCAGTGGGTGGCACGGTGGTGCAGTGGTTAACATTGCTGACTCGCAGCACTGGGGCCCTGGGTTCGATTCACTGACCTGGGGTGCTATCTGCTTAGAGTGCGTACGCTCTTCCTGTGTTCGTGTGGGTTTCCTTTGGGTGCTCCGGTAAATGTTGTTTTGTAAGTTAAAATATTAATTATCGAGATAGAAAGTAAATATCCAACTATAACCATCCATTTCCTAACCACATCATCCAGCATGGTGTTACAGGGGATACCAGAACCTAACCCAGCAAGCAAGGGGCAGAAAGCAGGACACATCCTGGATGTTGCACCAGTCCATCACAGGACACACCAAGACACAAACACACACCCGCACACCAGAGCCAATTTTCCCAGAAACCAATTTTTTGTAAAGAAGGTTTTAAGTCTGATTTTTAAAAGTGCCCAGGGAAAGGACTGACTGTCTGATGTCAGTGGCGCTAGGTTTCCACAGTTCTGGGGCATAACAGGAGAAAGCCCTTAGTATGTGGATGAGTTTTGGGGGCAAAGAGGAGACTAGAGAGACTAATGAAGGTTGAGAGTAGGAACATAATAAATCAACACAAAACCTTCATACAGTATATACTGATGGAAAAAAGAAACGCATCACCTCCTCCTCCACACTCTGGCCCTCCCGTCTGCAGCGAACAGGCTGAAGAGTGACTCTTTCGTGAAGAGGACCTGATGCCACTGCTAACGAGTCCATCGGAGCCTCTGTCTGCCCCAAGCCAGGTGGCTGTCATCTAGGAGATGTGAGCAGAGGGCCTCTGACAGGTCACCTTGCTCTAAAGCCAGCAGCATGGAGCCTCACTTTCCTGTCACTGATGCAGGCATTGTGTTCGCTGGCAGTTTCAGTAGCTGTACAAGTAACTGAAACGATTTCTCAGATGGACCAGTCTAATGTGTCTCTCCTGCTCTGGTGTGGTCACTTGAGGGTGCCCGGATCTTGGACAGTCATCTGTCCTGCCCGTCTGCTGAAACCTTTTCTTCAGTCGGGACACAGTGGAGTGGCTTACTCCATAGGTCTGGCAGTGCTGGCACATGACATGCCTGCCTGCAACATGCCAATGGCCCTCTCCCTTGCTTCTGGTGACATTTGAGGCATTATGGAATGCACAGATAACTGTCTAAGTGTGGCCTTTTTCCTGCAGTGACCTAAGCTTTGACCTGATCGGGCATTGTTCCACCCGGACCTCTTTGGTTAAAAGTGCACCTAGCGAGCTTTATTGTGATGGGCAAGTTGCAATGCTTCACTGCACAAGCTGTATTGCTGGTCAGAAAGCTTAGAACAAATTGACAACTTTTTGTGAAATGTACATAAGCCATAACTATAGTATTCTCTTTCAAGAAAATGTTGTGTTTCTTTTTTGTATTAGCTATGGAAACGCATTATAGCTTATGTGTGCACAATTCTGTTATCTTTTTTTGTCACAGAGTTTCGGCTGTGAAGCCTTCTTCAGGTGTGAGGAAGAAGGCTTCATAGCCGAAATGTTGTGTTTTCTCTCTTTTCAGCATGGAATAAACCTATTACTTGTTCCTTCGCAGCCTACGCATGCTGATGCAGCTACCCACCTGAACTACTTCAACCTTCTTCTGCTGCGACCCACTATGCCTTCCTCTAAATCTTTTTCTAGATCTTTTCGTCATTCCTTCTCTTCCTCCCTGGGCAATTTGCCCCTCTCTCTCACTAAACCAGCATTCTGTCTCTTCACCCTCTCACCTGAAGAAGGCTTCACAGATGAAATGTTGTTTTCTCTCTTATCTTTTCAGCATGGAATAAACCTATTAATTGTTTTTTTAGTCATAGTTACAGTTTTCTAGATTGCATTTAACCCACAAAGGTCAAGTGACCAACTATATCTTTTTTAGACAGCATGATAGATTTATATTACTTTCATAAATCATGAAATCATACCTGGCCATATTTCTAGATTGATAAAATTCCCTTTTATTCATTTCATTTTAAAATTGACATCCACTGGCTTTTTTAAAGAAGACCTTTTTAAATAGGACTATAGTATATCAGACTGTATCCTTGAACAGAACTTTCTTCGCACTACATCTTTAAGAGGAAAAATTATATTAAAGTACCACCTGTATTACTATTTTCTTTTTTGATTTCAGATTTATTTATGAATATTCAAGAAGGCATCAAGAGCTGTCAATCCAGATGATCTTGAGGATAGGCAAAGCCTATGAAGAAATTTTGAAAAAATGTTGTGAGACTGATGATCCTCCAGCCTGCTATGGATCAGCTGTATGTTAGAGCAATACAAACATAAGCATTTGAACACTGTGAAATAAGTCTTACAACTCTGTTAGAGAGAGAAATATTTCAATAATACACGGAAGAAAGCTAATCTGTTAACGGTTTATAAATAACTTTATTTTATAATTAATATATCTATAAATGAGTATCACAAACTGTTAAATTGTACATTAAATAAAACTGAAGTATGTAACTTTTAAATTCAGTATTACATGTTAAGAAGCAAAATTGTTTCAGAAAATAATCATGCTATTATTTACTTCCATGCTCCTTTTTATTTTCACTTTACAGGATGCAGATCTTGCAAAGGCTATTCATGAAAATCTACAGCACTTTAAAGGCATGTGTGAAATTGAAAAGCAAAAAGGAGAAGACACTTTTGAAAAATTGTAAGGAATATTATTTTATGACTACATACATTCATACTTTTAGAACTTATTTTCACTTATTACCTTTTTAAAGTTGTTTCATAGTTGTCTTAAATTCAAAACTGTACTGCAAGTGCCTTTACAAATTGTGCAAAAAACACATATGCTTACTTTTATGTTCTTGAAATTTATATGAAATAATTTGTAATCTTAGTATATTTTGTATATAGAATTATAGTTGAAATGGGTTTTTTTTTGCATTTTTTAGAATGCTTGTTCAATATACAAAAATAATGCCCCAGGCTCCTTTTGAAGGACTAAATGTTGTGGCACATAGAATTGGTGATGTCATTGACTTCTGCTGTAAAAGTAAAGATCTAGATCACACCTTGATGCCTTGTGCTGAGGAAAGAGTGAGTATTTTTTTCTTTCATTAATAGTATTAATATTATAATTTAATATTAATAGTATAATGTTGTCTACGCTATATGATGAGATTCGTGTACAGCATATTGCACGCCTAATGGAAAGCAGATTCTGCAACATTTAAATCACATACAGTATAAAAGAAGTTGATTAGTATTTATATCTAGTATTTTGGGCATTCAGAATGCACAGCTGCTGTACTTTACTATTACTTTAATTACTTTCTTACTATTACTTACTTTCAAGTTGCTTACTTTCAATGGTTAAAATGCAAGTTGCAAGTTGCACACTCTCAACTGCCAACACACTCTTTATTATAATTTATTAAACTGTCAGTGCTTCAGCATAAAAATGTATTTTATCAGGAAAACACAGGTCTAATACCATTATATATTTATTTTTTATTAAGTGAAATAACACCTTTGTTGACTCAAATGTGTATATTCTGCCATTCGTTCCTTTGCTGAAATTAGACAGTTTAGAAGTGAGTGTAGATTGTCTCATGATGTAAAGACCAACTGAAGTTGAATTCTGTAAATATACAGTAGAATATGATTATGGCATTCAAAGGTTGAATTTATGAAGTTCTTTATACATATTTGTACATAACATCTATTCATTTTGACAACATGAAAAGCCTGCCTTAACCGTGAGTTTCCATCTCAGATCCTGGTGTTCATTTTAGAATTACAGACTTATCATATTATTTGTTTTCTTTAATGCTGTATTGCCTGTCTTTCTTAACAGCTGACTAATGTTATTGATCAGACATGCTCTGAAACTGATCCTGCTACCGTTAACCCTCACATTGACCAATGCTGCAAGGAGTCTTACTCAGCAAGAAGACCCTGCATCCTCAAAATCCAGCCAGACCAAGAGTTCAAGCCACCAGCTCTTACAGATGATTCATTCCCTATTGGGGCAGCTCTGTGTGACATGAAACCACATGACTTATTTGGTGCAGCTAAGAGGTAATGTTGTTTGACAATTAAACTTAAAATCATTAAAAAGGAAAGACAATTACAATAATAATACACTCCATTAGGTACTCTGACCTCATATGTTTTGCTTATATAGCTAATGCTTGTTCTCATGATTCAAAACTGCAGTTTTAGTTGTTTTTTGTATTGTATTGGATTTTGATTGCATTTTAAAGGATGTAAATGATCCTTTAATATTGAAAAGTCATTCTCCAAGCATGTTCAGTGTGACTTCCTCTACTGTGTAGTCAATCACATTTGGCAAGGGTACAGTCAACACAACACATTCTGATTCATGTCTGGGGAAATCTGTACTATACAGTATGTTCTGCTATGAAGAAACTGTATACTGCTTTCAAAACCACCGATAATTTGTAGGTAGCCAAGAATACTCATTGTTCCAGTTATCCACACAGACAAAAAGCATACGGATAGAGATTAGGTGACAGGGAAGACCAAGCCAGTCCACCAACATTGAAGTTGAGGATCAATAGGATTTTTCCCAGTAATGTTGCAGAAGAACACTGCTCTTACAGTGGTTAGAACCCCACACTCATGTATTGTCTGAGTAAGATGGGTGTTGCTCTGCTCTACCAGTACTGGGATTCCATCATGGCAGACTGAGGTGTTTGAGCAGACAGACTGACACATTTTAGACAGCACAGAACTGAACTACCTGCCTCAGAAGAATTTCTCGGGAGTGACCTTACCTTCTATAGCTGGGCCTATTGCATTGCCACACATCCAGTCTCCTCCGTTTGAATGAATAAAATGTAATTTACCATAAGTCTCAGACTCTCTGTGAAGGCCTCTTTGAAAAGTCACAACTAAATTTTAGCTCGGTTTACATATTTTCCCAATTAACACCCTCATTCACATTCCATGACAGTGTCTTGAACAACAGCTGTAGAGGTGCATTTCAAGAATGCCAGACTTTATAGATAGAAATTCACATCCCATTAGTAGCTTCTTGTAAGATGGTGTACACCTAACCTCTTATAACAACACCATTTTGAATGCTTACAATTGTCGGGCACATTGGCAGGTGGTTAGTGGCATTTTCCACACAGGTCTTGGATTCTAGCTTTGATTCTGAACTGGTACACCTTCTGAGCAGAGTTTGTAAGTTCTCCACAAGCTGACATGGGTGTGCTTAGGGTGTTACAGTTTCCTTCAAACTTCCAAAGACATGCTGGCTAGGTTGACTGGAGATTCTAAATGATGCATTCATGAGCCCTGCGATGGATTGGTATCCTCTCCAGTGTGTAATCTCATCTTGCATCTCAGATTTAAGCTCTGCATTGCTGTGACTCTTGCCAGGAAAGATTGGTCTTTCTAATAATGGTTGGATAATGGTCAAATGAGAAAATGATTGCTCTATACAGTATATACGAACTGTATGTACCCTCAAGGGCTGCTTTTCTCTTTCATCTCTAAAAAATGCATGTTCACTGTTCCATCGTACATTCTTCAGTTTCTCGTAGGAGATCCTGTATTATTTGTGAGCTCAAAATATCTCCCATGTACAGAAACAAAGTTGAAGAAGGATCAGCCAAATATGTGCCATATTAGGTGTGATGTGGCACATTTACTGTAACATTGTCTACCATTCATTCACAAATGACTGAGTTAGCTTGAATTTCGTTTCATTTAACTCTTATTTTAGATTTATAGATTTAAAACATATTTTTTCTCAGGCTTCTTTACACTCTGGTGAGGATGAAAACTACCATAACAAATGATCAACTTCAAACAATCTCTAAACATTTCTATGACATAAAAGACAAGTGCTGTGCTGAAGCTGACAAAGCAGCCTGCTTTGCAATAGAGGTACAGTATTTTTTATTTCCTGGCTATATTTAATACTGCTTTAACTTTTAACTGTGTGGTAGTGTTTCTGGATGATTGAAATAACAACCGGAAGAGCTTAATGGTTTCCTTCTAAATAAGTAACTTCTCCTGAATTAATGTCTATTCATTTTGAAAAATTCCTTTTCAGAAACCAAAACTAGTGGCTGAGAGTCAAGCCCTTCTTCAGGCCTAATATATTCAGGTATGTTATCTCAGCAGTATATTATTAGACACATAAAGTGGCAGTCAGAGCTTAATGTCACATTATTTTTTATGGATATTCCCCTGATTCATCTGAGTACCTCCTAAAATAAGCCATTGTATGCCTTTCCTATTACTATTTTTACTATTCAAATTTACATTTTTCTTTTTTATCCTTGCTCTGTGATCCCTGTTTCTTATATTCAGGTTTCACTGGAGAAGACAAAAAGAAGAAGCCATATCTAACAGTATACCTTTCTTCAACGAGTCATGAGATCATGAGTTGCAAAAAACGATCGTGCTGCTGTGTAATCTCAATCCATGGGCCCGTTCTGAGCTGCCAACTACAGAGTCTATATGGTGTAATCATTTTGATAATCAAAGCAAGTAATAAACTGAACTAATTAGAAATCTTGTCTTGTCTTTTATTCATTATATCAAAAGACTAGTCTTCTGAAAAAAAACTATGCTTTCGACATAGTGTCATTGGTGAAGACAGTTTAAGAAGCACATGAGCAAAATGAAAGGGACAGGTTTATTCAGGAACAGCCTCAAAACGACATTATAATCCATGTATAATAGGAAAGAATTGGGTACAAACTGTATAGCGTTAAAACACATTTTACAACTAGTCACAAAGAACCATTGAAGCTGCTTAGTGTTCAGCTCTAACATTCTAACATTAAGGTTGATAAACTGGGTTAACATCTAGTATAAATTCATTGCTGAATACAACAAATGTAAAATCATAAAACCTGATTTCATTATCTTTATTTCATATGTAAAGATGAGTGATGGTAGTGAAAAATATGTAGCCACCTACAGTATAGATCCTACTTAAAAGTTACTTGTTAATGTAAATCTTGAAATCCATTGGACTGTTTTAGATCAAAGATTCCTGCAAGGATGACTGCAATACAATAGCTTGCACCAGAAGTATTTTATTTCTCTTATAATTGGGCTAATATATTTTCAGAAACTAAAATATTTTTTATTACTTCCATCTTACAGTGCTTGCATAAAAAAGTGCTGGCACTTTTGTTGAGTAGTGTTTTGTTAAGTTCTTGATTTCTGAAACCAATGTCTTGTATAGCAACAAAACTAGTAAAGAGCTCTGTGAAACCACTAACGCTCTAGATCATTTAGTCTGTTCCATCACAGCATTTATACAAATGTGAAGTTCAGCATCCTACTATATTATTATACAGGAAAAATGTAGTATACCTGTTACTTCAAATTTTACAGTTATTTTTGCAACTGTGGATTTTTTTTTAAATAGCCTGTCGTCGCTCCTTAAGTCTGTTTACATTAGATTATTCTAAGTATTTTGCACACTATATTCTGACAGAGGGAATGGAGACTTGGCTGCAAATCTCTGTTTCACAGCTGGAGTTCCCCATGGATCTTCACTCTCCTGCCCTGTGTTTGTGGAGAGGTGTGTCTTCAAAGATGGTTTCACCACCATTTTTCTGGTCATGTTGACAACACGTCCTCCTTATCAGGAGGCTCAGGCCAGGATGGCAGACAGCAATTATTCCCTCTAGGTTGTAGGCAGCTGCCACAATTGGGGGAGCACATGTAGTCCAGAGCATCGTGTTTTGGTAACATTGTATCCATAATTATACATCGATTCTTTGTTTAGCCTCTTTATCTAATACTGGGTTGTGGGGGAGCCAAAGCTTGTCCTGACAAGTAATGGGCACCAGTCCATTGCAGGGCAGACACAAACACATGCAGACACACACGGGACCAGTTTTCCAGGAAGTCAGTTAACCTACCAGTAGGACTAGGAGGAAACGTTTTGAAAAACCCTTTGGACTGTGGGAGGAAACCAGACACCAAGAGGAAACCCATGTAAATACAGGGAAAACATACAAACTCCACACAGGTAGCATCCCAGGAATAGTACCCAGGGCCCTAGGGCTGTGAGGCAGCAATATTAACAAATGCACTAGCCTACATCTCCAGAATTGCACAGAATGTTCTTTTTTAAGTCTTTCTCTGCATTGTGTTATTTTTCATAAATATCTTAGCTTGGTGAACTCGGCGTTTACCATCTCATATTTACAATTTACGTTTCTGTTACCTGCATATCACACCTTGCACTTGTCTACATTAGATGTCATGTGATTGCCACAGATACAAACAAGTGAAGCTATTACAATAGACGTCAGTTGGGAGGATATTTCAACATCATAAAATATGTTACTGATAAGTGCATTTATGTAGTATGTTTTTAATTTCTCCTGGTTCAAAACACTTATTTAATTTTCCTCCCTGAGCACATAACTTTCCGCTGTTTATGATACATAATTTGACTAGAAACCTGTATCGACCATTACACGTTTTTAACGTGTACTTTTTATGTAGGCGTGTGTAGTGTAGTTACTCACCCCACCCCTAACGTGTGTTGACTCTTTTAACATAACTTTCTCACATTCTCTCCACCCAGTTTCTTATGAGTTAGATTAACACTTGTGGTGCTAAACTTCAGAATTGGGAGAGATTGTGTTTAAACTGTGTTTATTTCTAACTGCAGTAATAATCGGTAGGCAGATCAGCGACCGCTCAACTTTATTGAAAAGTTTGCCTGTCAGATTTTAGAAAACGTTAAACAAAAATAAGTTAATGCACAGAAAATGCATAAATATTGGGTAGAATGTTTTTGTTTCGTAGCTTCTGCTACGAATAAAACATTTATTTTAGCCGTTCTTATTTGTGCCTATACTGTTATTTTTAATAATGTTCACTATTCAGTTCTTGGAAAAATTCACACGGTTACTTTTCACGTCCTGGGGAGTTCTGCTTGAAAGGTTGACGTACTGCAGTGTTGTACTGCACATTCATTTGCTAAGGATTTGAAGAGCATTGGTAAATTGTATGGAATTTTGGTATGTCCTGGGGGAGAAATTTCACATTTGTTTTACGTCCGCTTGATGAATGGGATTTCTGGATAAAACAACACGCCCTTACTATTGGGCGACTCTTTCCAACGTACTTCCTTCCTTTATATAGTTGTCATCCCAGCAACTCATTGCAAGGCTTTTCCAATCTTGCGGTGAGAAAGGAGGGTATTAGGCAGGAAAAGCCGTTTTTCTGTATTATTAAAATGCGTTGGAAAACCGCATAAATCTGACATTTTGGTAGGCTTGGCACTGGAACAGATTTTCAGTGAAGGACAGAAGTCGATTTTGGGGAACGAAACCTGGAAAACCGGAGGAAATCGAGTCGTATTGCTCAAGATTTTACAGTCGTAAGTAAGAAATGGCTGCTTTACAAATGCACCACTTTCATTGATGCTTTACATAAATCGGGAAGGCGGAGTAAATTCAGAACATTTAACAAATAAACATTGGAAAGCAACGTGGTGTAAAAGCAGGCCTGTTGAATACCAGCTTCCATTTTTAAGAACTTACGATGTTTTACACGATTATTATCTATCTATATCATTTTTGCATTTACTCCAATAATCTATTAGAGTGGGTTTGTAGCACGGATTTAACAACCGTGTGAGGTATAGCGTGAGCATTCTTCGCTGTATAAAATGTGCACATCGGTGCGGTGTATCTACTCTTGCGACACTTGACAAACCGTGCGATCTCCATTAGAAAGTGTATCGTTTTGTTCGTATCTGCATTGCAGTTCGATTTTTTTTCTTAAAATATATAACACTAGTTTGGGAACTTGCTTTTGTGCTAAATACATTATTAGAAGCGATATTTTCACTAACGTTTTTTTTTTGGTGTTTATTCGTTTTTAATTTGTAGGCAGTTAAAGCAGCTCTTAAGAGGTTATGCTGTAATAATATTACACACAGTGCAGTTAGCTGCACAGATCTAATATTTGCTGAACAGATGACATGATGGCAGCGCCGTGCCCCCTTGATTAGGATTGAAATAAGTTTTAGATATCGATAGGAATGAGTTGTTTGCACTCTTATCTGCATAGGTTTCGGTAACGATTTTAAATCTAGATTAAGATGTGAGTGATGATAAGGAGCAGATTTAAAGTCGAAAAATATTTTAAAACTCCTTTAGAAATGTGCTGTTAGGGCTGCAGACATGCTCAAGGTTAGTTATCGTGCTAATGATATTTATTTTAAAAGAGAAAATATGTGTGCGAGAGCATGTATGTATAGAAATTTCCAAATTAATTTACAGAACCGTGACATGTTCGTGTATATAGAGGGCCTTGTGTTGATGGTCTAAAACGAGTTTTGCCTGTTAGGCCAGGGAGGTTGAACTAAACAACTGTTAGGCTTTGAAAACGAGAAATAGTTAGAAAAACACGCCGCATTTTAAAATCTTTTGAGCATTATGGCGTAGAATTTCAGAAACCACTGTACCTCTGTATTTAAACAAAGTCGTCAGGGCACCTGAGATATTGCTCAAGTGCTATTCGTTCGGGGCATACCTGTAACTTTCAATGTGTAGATCTACTGTACTGTAGGTAGAGTGCTTGTAGGTTTTCCGTGGATTCAGTGCTGAAAATAGACTCCAGTCATTTCTTGCATTAAATTGCAATAACCATAGGGATAATATTGACGACACCTAACTGGACTTATATTGACAAAATAAATGGTGATTGACAAATGGTTTAGTTCACAAAATCAATTATTGGTTTAAAATTAGCACAATGAAGAGAGATATACTGTAAAATAGGTAGTGGTACATTAAAGCATTAGGTACAGTATGTTTGTGGTCCATAATCTGAAATGTCATCCTCTGTGACCAAATACCTTGGCAAAAACTCTACATGAGTTGTTTTTAAAATGAAATCTTTAACCACCTGATCTGTTGTTTGATGGCAACGTTTGCTGTGCCTGAGGTTTCTAGTGTTAAACCAGTGCATCCTGGTGACTGAGGGAAAACTGCATGAAGGTTTGATTTAAATTTTCGAATATAGGCAAAACAAATCAATACAAAAACGTTTTATTTGGATATTTTTAATCTCATTTTGTAATTGAAACCATGATATCTCATCTTTAAAAGGTGCTGGCTTTAAAATATTGATAATCAGCTAGGATCTGTGGCAGAGTACATTATTTTACTTAAATTAGGGGTTTATCGCATCTGTTACTGGAGCAGCTTTGTGACACAGATTACATATTTTAGTGTTAGAACAGCAGACATGCTGTACTGCAGTGTTTACAGAGATGTTAACTTGTAAAATGCTTTAAGTGACAATGAATAGAATTATCTATCTGTAGTCTACCTCACTGTTGGGAAGTCCAAACCTGCCTCATGCCACAGAATATCTCCTGCAGTTTTATTCAAAACAGTGAAGGCTCACTCCCTGTCACCCTGTCTTCATCAGGACTTGGATTTCCTGGGATGAGCATTGCCAAAAATACAGTATGTCTACCGTCTACCTGTCCTTTTCAATCAGACCTCAGTCTAAGGTCAGAGGTTGGCACTCCAATGCAATGAGCCTTCAGCTGTGCATTTGGCCTTCCTGAGGCAGTCCCTAAAAAAAATCTGGGATTGTCGAAAGTAACAGTTGTGCACACTGCGTCCACTGCCGTCTTCAGATGGGGCTGAGTATGACTGAGCAGGGCCCCTCCCGTTAATCCTGGAAGGGTTCAATAAAAAAAACTAAGCAATGACTTAAACTCAGTTCACCCAACCCCCCCCAAAGGCCAGCATTTTCCTTGTGGCTTTAAGGGTTGTGTCATCTTAAAAAGAGCACTTACCACTTTGGCAGCTCAGTGTTGAGATAAGGAAAATGAAGAAACCTCATTTTAATCTTTGGCTATGATGTTACTGAATCCACTAACTATCAGAGCAGCTTTTTTTGTGGCTATAATGTTACCAAAGAGAGTGATTAACCTGTAGGCATCACTACCTTGCATCTTCTTTGGAGAAAGTGACTCGGAAGAAAAATCCGTTCTACACCCCTGCCATCTTCCAGTGCAAATCGGTACAATGAATCGGAGGCAGCTCCTAATGGTTCTCGGAATCATTCCCTACTTTATGTGCGGTTGCTGATTAGGGATTAGGAGTGGGGATTCGAGAGCAAGATTTCTGTTGTGATTTTGAAATGAAGCCACCAGAACTTTCAGTTCATCTAGGTCTGATCTAGTGGTCTTGGATTTTGGAATGGGTTTTGGGATCTCTTGTCAACTATTTTGGATTTAAGCCCATTCATGCTTGTTCTGAAATAAAACATGCACTTAATTTGTATATACTGTAACATTTTAGCATACTAGCACTAGACTGGCTTGCAAATGTCCAAATTTAATTGCATAATGTGTTCTTTTTGCAGTCTAAATATTGAGTATTCGAAAAGAAAACAACAATAGTGAAGTATGAAATCTCAGGTGTTAGGATTTACCACTGGAAAGTGCATTCCATGCAAGGCTGATCTGATACTGCTGTGTTATGGTCTCAGCATTTTCCTTTATATTGCTATAGATGGTATAGAACACTCACCACGTATTATCTGTTGCATAACTCTATCAGAAGGAAGAATAAAATCATTGCAAAACCCTTCGCAGCACTGCAGTCAAGTGTGCATTGAAAGCTGTTACACAAGTCCGCTCATGTTATTGGTGTGTATTGTGACATTCCTTAAGCCAAGCCAGCACGTAAAATAATGATACTCAGTTCAGTTCAGCTGTGAGCTTTGCTGGTTAAGTATCTTTACAGTACAAACTCTACCCAGCAGATGGCAGTAACACATTTATTTTGTTCTTCAAGACAGAAGTAGAATTACTCAAAGACATGATAGACTTGTGAAATTGTTCATATACTAGGCTTTGCAGTTTTGGAACATGTTCATTGTTTTAATGAACTTGGGTGTGTTTTTATTAAACACATTTTATTTTGGAGAGATTAAAAGGGAAAGGGTTTGTTCCATGTTCTCAGTAATGGGAAATACCCTACGGTTTGAAATCTGCGATTGCTATAAGAATGCATCACATGTTGTGGTGTATTCATTGTTGACTTAAATAGTTTAAATACTGTAAATGTATTGTTGCTGTGAAACTGAATTGTTAATTGTATGTCTCCAGTGTCGCCAGTGCATAGATGCAATGAGATTACATTACTTGAGCTTTGTTGCAAAGGGGAAGGAGGAAACACCCAAAAGCTTTAGTGGGAAAACAAACACAAAAAGCCTCAACCTTCTGCTTGTATTGTATTATTTTTCTTTCTTCGGGAGACAGTGCTTGGATGATCTCATCTTGTGCCTATAATATGGGAAGACTGTAGCTTTGTTTTAAGCTCCATGAAATTTCCCTCCAGAAATTTATTTTGTATGTTTTTATTTTTCCAGTTCAAATCAGCTGATATCTTGAGTAAAAAGGTTTTGATTTACAGAAGTGTTTTGCAATCACATTGTAAATTATAAGATTTAGAATAGAAGGTTTCAAGCTTGGCGCTGAGGGATTTCTGTGTCGAATGGTGTTCATTCCAACTGGGGCTGTAACCACCAGTACTAACTGGTACCTGGTCAAAATAATCATTTGGCTTGTTTTGACCTTTTTCTTCACTTAGCTCTTGGTTTTGAAAACACCCTAAGGTATGTTATTTGTGGTCACAGATATTGGTGTTTTATAATTTTGTGTAAACAATTGGAAATAACTCATGGAGTGACTTGAATAAGAAAAATTTTAAAAAATACAATTAAACTCATTCATGAATCATAAAATTGAAAAACATTGTTGGAGTGGATTGTACTTATTTAGAGTATGTGGATTAGAATTGGATCTAGAGATGTTTTATATAGCTGCTTAGCACATTAAACTGAAAACCAGCTGCATTTTATTATCAACTATACAGTGCCTTCAGAAAGTATTCAGACCCCTCCACGTTTTCCCACACTTTGTTGTGTTGTAAACTTATTTCTAAATGGATTGAATTGATTCTTTTTTGCCATCAATCGACACCCAATACCCCATAATGACTAAGTGAAAACAAGTTTTTAGAATTGGAGGTTCCCAGGAGCACAGTGGCCTCCATCATTGTCAATTGTCAACACCTCTTCTCGAGAAGGAAAGGCACTGCAGAGATTGGTCAATATGGCCCAGAAGATCATCGGCTGTGGTCTCACCGAGATTAGACAGCTCTATGAGGACCGCTGCCATGGTAGAATTCTGGCCATGATAGAGGACAGTCACCACCCTGGGCATGAACTCTTCACCCCACTGCCCTCAGGCAAGAGATACAAGAGCATATGGACACTTATCACTAGATTCTTCAATAGCTTCTATCCACAAGCAGCGCGATTTGGTGAACACATTTACTGTAAGAA